TGGCGCAGCAGCGCCGTGGCCGGTCCGCCAGGCCTCCGCCCGCCTCTGGGGGCCTCTGCCTGTCCGCCATCCCCAGCCAGAGAGCCTCCCTTTCCTCCCCGTGTCCTCGCCACCCATCCCAGGGTTCAGGTCTGCCAGCGACCTTCCTAAAAAGTAGCTTTTCTCACTTTGTTCCTGGGGCCGGACACCTCCCGTTCCACACCTTAAAGCTGAGCTCCCCTGGTCCGGGCGGTCAGCGCCGCCCCAGCACTGGCCCATAACTGCCTGCCTCTCCTCCTGCCCTCCGAGCACTCAGGCTTTGGTGCCGGTAAGCCCCTGGACATGTAAAGCTGTCCTCTTGGACACCCCTAATCCCTCCCTCCTCCCTCCCAAGTGTCTCCAGGGCTGTGGAATCAAAGGTAGCCGGCGGGGGAGGGGACCCTCCACAGTGTCCTTGGCTGCCGCCTCCATTCTGTGAAAGGAAAGGTCAGCGTCTCTCAATTAGGTGGCTGAGCACTTTTCCGGAACCAGGATGTAGCTCAGCTGGATTAATTAAAACTCCCCAGCTTCTTCCCCTGGCCCCCTCCTTCTAGCAGGGGGGGAAGGGGGGGCAAAGCCATTACAAGCTGCTTGCCTGTGGGGGACGGCTCCCCAGTTTGGGCACTTAGAGACAGCGTTAGAGGTTTTGGACTCTCCCCCCTACATCCCCTTCTTCTAAAGCAGCGGGGTGCACACAGCTCATCACCCCCTTTCCTGCAGGGAAATTCTACAGCTCTTGGGAAAATGGGCTTTGCCATCCAAAATCTCGTCCTTCTTTTCAGATTGTGATTTAGGGCAGGTGACTCAGCGTCTGGGAGTGGGATCAGTGGCTAGACAGCCGGGAAAGGTTGGTGGCATGGCCGGCTCTTGCGACGGGCATGGCGGAAGGGCTGACACTCTGCTCTGAAACCTCCAGGGCCCTCACAGGGTCTCGGTGGTCCCCAGACATCCTCGCATCACGCCTCGATAGCTGCTGGCTTAGGGATGCTGCAAACCTTTCTTCCCACAGTCTGAGCCGGGTAAAAGTTACGGCACATTTCTGTGGTAAAGAGAAGTTGCTTTCATCTAGCGGTTATCCTTCTCGGGCACCTAGGAGAGTAGCGGGAAGTCGTCCCCACCATAGCCAGGTGATAGCTCTCGGCAGTGACAGTGTGAGCAAGCAGTCAGGGAACCAAAGACCCGACTCCCAGGCCAGCCGCAGGCATTTCTAAGGCCCTGGAGCTGGGGGCGGGGTAGGGGTGGGCAGTGCAGACGGCAGGGCCGTGTCCCCGCAGGGAGTGGCTGCTGAAGAGCAGCCTCCTGGTGGCCATGGCCGTGTACACGTACCTGCGCCTCATCGTCGACCACCACGGTACCGCCCAGCTGCAGGCCCTGCGGCAGAAGGAGGTGGGCTTCTGCACCGCCCTGCTGCGGGAGCGGGTGAGCACAACACGGTGGGGGGCTGGCACCGGGTCGGGGTACCCCGGGTTCCGTGCAGAGACATGGGGGTGGCTCGGGGCCAGGTGTGTCTCCATCACTCCGAGACACACGAGGCGGGAGGGCGGGCCGTCGGCGAGGGATGGCCATACTCCCCGGAGATGCTGCCTGTCACTCGGCGTCTGGGGGTTTTCCCCGTCAGCTTCGTGGACGCTTGCACGCCCACCGTGGCCATCCCCACACCTGCACGCCGTGTGACTCGTCCACTCTCAGGTCTCCCGCGTGAAGACCCCAGGGCTGTGCTCTCTAATGAGGAGCCGCTGGCCACGTGTGGCAATTTAAGTTGAATTAATTAAAATTAGATAAAAATTTTAAATTCAGCCTCTGAGCTGAATCAGCCACATTTTAAGTGCACGTTAGGCACACGTGGCTAATGCGTCCTTCTGGACAGCAGGCACAGACTAGGCCCGTTACCACAGGGTGGTCTCTTAGACCCGGTGAGCCTGGGGTGAGGTGTTGGGGCCACTTCGCCAGTCCTGTCCCGACCGGGATCAAGACAGTTCTGGGAGGAAAGGGCAGAAGGCTAACGCGAAGGCCAGCAGGGCCTCAGCAGCTTCCAGTAACTTCTTCGTGAATTCAGCCCCCGACTTCTCACTCTCTTGCCCTGAACAGCCAGGAGCCAGTCCCTTGGTTCCAGGAGAAATTGTATAATCTCTTCGGCCCTCTTGCCCTGCAGCAGGTAAACAATCCGTGTTTTTCTTCTCTTTCCTGTCCACCCCTCCCCCCATCAAGTTCATGGAATGCTTGATGATTGGCCGGGACCTCGTAAGGCTACTCCAGAATGTTGCCAGGATACCAGAATTTGAACTGCTTTGGAAAGATATTATCCATAACCCGCAAGCCTTGAGTCCTCAGTTCACAGGTAAGTAAAGGCCGACTTCCTGTCCTCGAGGCGGGAGGTCAGTGCGTATGGGCCACTTGAATCAAGAGGCAGAGGTTGGTGGGTAGGAGAGGCTTAGCAGTCAGACGTAGGAAGCCCGGGACCAGGCGGGCTCTGCCCACTACAGCTGGCCATGGTTCCCAGACTGGCCCTCCTTGGCAGGCTCCAGCCTAACTCTACTGCCTGCTCCTAAGGAGATGCGAGGCAGGGACTGTCCTTCCCCTTATCTGCCGACAGCTGTTTGGCTCAGGAGGTGAGCCGATGACCAGTTTCCAGCTCCACTGAGTCCAGCGGGGGAGTCAGAGGTCAGCTCGTGAGACTGAGTCAGCAGCGGGGCTGGACGGAGTCCTGTAAAAGAAGGCTCCTCCTGGGCGCGGTCCCGCCTCTGAATTCCAAGGGTCCAGCTTGGTCGGAATCCTCTGTGGGGGAGGGAAGGAGGCTCCGTGTGCCTCCCTGACGGGGCCCTTCCACGTCCCTCTCCCCTCCCCGGGGTCCTGCCTGCGGTCTGAACGGTACCTGCAGCTTTGCTCCCTCACGTCACCTCTACCACGCATGCGTGTGTGCACGTGTGTGTGCGTGTGCACATGCACACAACACGAAAGCAGTCGTCCAGGGCCTGGGAAGCCAGGAAGGGAGAGAGGAAGTCGCGGTTTGCCTCGCAAGCCCTCACGCTGAGCGCGCGCTGAGTCGTGAGTGCCTGCTGTGTGCCAGGCGCACGCGAACTCTCAATCCTCAGACTTCCCTGTACGGTAGAGGTTTTACTTTCCGTGTTTGCAGATAAAGAAAACGAGGGTGGAGAGCTTGAGTAGTTTGCCCAAGGCCACGCAGCTAGTAGGTGTCAGAGGCAGCATCTGGGTCCAGGTCTGTCTGACTGCAGAGCTCACGCTGTTGCCACCAGCACAGTGGTCCCGGGACCCAGTGACAGGACATTCAGGAGCAGGGAGAGAGGCTAGGGACTCCCACGTTTCCCCGCTAACTTGCCCACATGTTGCCAGCTGGAATAATGTGCGTGGGGGGCTCCAGACGGCCAGTGGGAGAGACCCCTCTGGGTCCCGGGGACAGTGGGTGGCCAGAGCAGAACACGCGGTGCTGGTTAAACCCTCGCTTGTACCTGCGCCGACCTGTCTTGGTGTCGCCTTGGAATTTCCCCACGAACAAGGCCACTGGCCATCAGCACCTGGCCCGGGCTCCCCACCTGCCTCCGTCCACCCTGGTCCTCAGGCTTCTCTCTTCTCTTCCCTTGCCCGCTTGGTGCAGGCATCCTGCAGCTGCTTCAGTCAAGAACGTCCCGGAAATTTCTGGCATGTCGCCTAACCCCAGACATGGAGACCAAGCTCCTCTTCATGACCTCCCGGGTGAGCTCGCCTGTGCCGGCAGGCAGGGGCTGCACGCACTGGCTGCGGGGGTGAGCTCGCCTGTGCCGGCAGGCGGGGGCTACAGGCACCAGTGGGACTGCCTCCAGCCATCGGTTGGGCACTATCGATTGCTGACTAGTGGAGTCCTGGTCAGGTGATGCCCCCAACCTACCTGGCACTGGGCACAGTGCTGAGAGCTAGGGAACATTGTATGTCAACTGTAATTGAAAAATCAAAAATTATTTAAAAAAAGAAAGAACTGGGGATACAGTGTTAAGTAAGAGAGACAGTTCCAGCGCTTATGATGCTTCTGGCCTGTGTAAAGCAGACGCTAAACCAGTAACTGTGCATCAACAACGTAACTGACAAGTGTGAAACATGCCACAGAAGGGCAGGGCGAGGTGTTCACTCTGGGAAACCCACTGTCCCCCCGGGGGGGACCACGAGCTCTCAGGAAGAGACCGCTGGCCTTCTGGTTCCCAGTCATGGCTGACTGACAGCAAATTGCTCGGGGAGCGTGTATAAAATACCCCTTCCTAGATCCCTCTGTCCTGGACAGTCAGACTGAGGAATCTATTTTTAACAGAGTCGCTGGGCATCAGCTCCTCTGCGGCCAGTCTGGCATCAGGGGACCGCTGCTCTAGCCAGCTTGCAGCACCCCATGTCATCCGGGAGAACTGTCTGGGTCTGCGCTGTCCCACGCGGTGGCCACCAGCCGTGTGTTGCGATTTAAGTAGTGAAATGAAAACTTCAGTACCTTGGTGTCAGTAGCTACATTTGTAGAAAGTTATACTAGACAGTGGGGTCTAGATGTTTTTGGATTTCTTTAACTCTGCTTTCTGTTTGGGTTGAATTTGGGGACCGGGTGTCGCTGCTTGCCACCACGCAGTCTGTCAGGGGAAGGCCTTGCTACGGGGGGCTGGCAGGTCCACGTACCTCAGACAGTGACAGTTGGAAAGCCAGTCAGTGCCGAGGGGTGAACGGGCTCAGCTCCTGTTCCCGGGTCGCTGTTCACAAGTAGCTCAAGGGAAGGCGAGGTGCTGCTCGTGGCTGGGAGCCCGCAGCCAGTGCGGGAGCAGGGAGCCGGGCGTGGCCTACAGCAGCATCGGGGGTAAACGTGGCATCAGGTCGGTGGCCAGAACAAATGCTCCGCTGCGTTCTTTAACATCTGGGAGGTCGTCCCGGAGGAGGGCGGCCTGAGACACAGTGCGCGTGAACGAGTACATTGTGGCGAGCAGCCGAAGTCTAGGCCCCACCTGGTGGTGGCCAGTGCTCATCTTCCTCTGCCCAGGGTCCCCAGCCTCTCCGCCAAGTTTCTCTTTCCAACGTCTCTGTCCCCCAGGTGCGGTTTGGTCAACAGAAGCGATACCAGGACTGGTTCCAGCGCCAATACCTGTCCACCCCAGATAGCCAGTCTCTACGCTGCGACCTCATTCGCTACATCTGTGGGGTTGTCCACCCTTCTAATGAGGTGCTCAGTTCAGATGTCCTGCCCCGATGGGCCATCATTGGTTGGCTGCTGACAACATGCACGGTGAGCAGCTGGGCCACGGGGCGGAGGCCATGGGTGGCAGAGGGTCCCTCTCCCCTCCTGCTCCCCTGTCTCCCGGCCCCGGAAGGCCCTCTCTCACTCGCTGCCTGCTGGCCTCTCGGCGTTTACCCCACCTCTTCTAGAAATTTCTGTCCCTAGAAATTTACTCATGCACGTTTCTTCCCGTTTGGGGTGGGGTTGGATGGGCTCACCTGCACTTTGCCTGCCAGTCCCCAAGCCTGGGTGTCTGGTGTCCATCTTCCAGAAGCCACATACAGCTTTTCTCCTGAACCATCCTTTCTCAGGTTTAGGGCCTGTGCTCCCCAGCTCCTTACGCCTAGCAACCCCCCTGCCCCCCCACCTCACGTCCCCACCCCCGTGCTGGGGTGGGGGCTGTCTGTCTCTGGCATCTAGTCGCCCTCTGACCTCTTGTGTAAAGGCTCTCCCTCCCCCATCCGACCGGCCTGTGGAATGTGCTGACTCAGATACAACAGCGGGCTCCTCCGGGGCTCTCTCCTTCAGCAATGTCCCTGGGGAGCCCAGCAAAGGCTCAGATGAGTGCCTCTCAGTTCAGGGGTGACCAGGGACCCCCAGGCCCCGGCGTCCCCCCTTATAGGACCAGGGTGTGTTCAGGGTGTGTGAGAACCCAGGCCGAGCCCCAGCCCCTGGGTTGGCGAGACCACAAGGGACTCACACTCGTATAGACTTGGGTGCCCTGTACCTCGCACCCCTGTGGAGCTCCCACCCCATCTCCCTTAGACCTGAATTTTGTGGTTGGCGGGGTCTGGCCCGGGGGCCTGCCTTGGGCGAACGAATGGAGGGGAGCTGGCCGCTGAAACCAGCCCTCGTGCCTCCCCTCCCTCTTGCAGTCAAATGTCGCTGCGTCCAACGCCAAGCTGGCCCTGTTTTATGACTGGCTGTTCTTCAGCCCAGATAAGGACAGCATCATGAACATAGGTACGTGGCTGCCACCAGCCAGCACCACCCACCCCTGCCCGCTGGCGGCCTCGGCGTGGCCTGTCCCGAACCTCAGGGCAGCGTGGAGGGGCGGCGGCGTGGAGGGGCGGCGGCGTGGCCGGAGCAGTTCTGTAGTCCCCCGGTGGTGCTCCCTGGGCCTAGCAGGGAGGTTGCTGGGTGGGCCACGCGACACTCACCCCTTGTTCCCACCGCCTGGGCTTGGACTTGGGGTGCTGTCTGCAGTAGAAAAGGCCAGCCACATGCCTCTCCTCTCCTGCCACTGCCCTCCTGCAGGCTGCGTGCCGGGGACGAGGGCTCCCAGCCTTTTGGGGGGTTGTCTACTTTGTGGTCTGCCCGGGGGGAATGGGGGGCAGGGAGAAGTGCAAGTGTCCGGGGCCATTGGGCGGCGTCGGCCAGCGGGCTGTGGGGCTGGGAGCAGGCTCTGAAGTGGCCCTCCCGTTGTGTGTCCACAGAGCCAGCCATCCTGGTCATGCATCACTCCATGAAGCCCCACCCGGCCATCACCGCTACTCTCCTGGATTTCATGTGCCGCGTGCGTGTCCTCGCCCTCCGCGCCCAGCTGCCGGGGCGGGCGTGTGCCCCCTGGACCTCCGGGCTGCAAAGAGGCCTTCCCTTGCCCTCGGCCTATGGCAGGAGGGGGCGTGGTCCCCCCAGGCCAGGCGTCCTCCCTCCCTGCCCCACTGTCTCCAGTGGGCCGTGGCCGGCTGTCCATGTCTCTGCAGGGTTCCTCAGCCTCAGAGACGACTACCTAATAGTCTCACCTCCTGGAGGAGCAGCAGGTCCCCGTTTCAACAGCCTGGAATGGGCGGGAACATTCCAGTCCTTCCCGTGGTCGTATCCCCGGGTCCTCTGATCGGAGCCAGAGCCGCTGGTTGGAGCTCGTGCAGTACGCTCCCTGGATGGGGCTGCGCTCACTGTCCTCCCCGCCTTCCTTTCCAGATCATTCCCAACTTCTACCCGCCGCTGGAGGGCCACGTGCGGCAGGGCGTCTTCTCCTCGTTGAGCCACATCGTGGAGAAGCGGGTCTTGGCGTAAGGGTTCCCGTTGACGTGGGCGGGGCCGGGCTGTGGGCTGCAGGCTGCTTCTCGGGCCTCGGCAGGTCGGGCGTGTGCAGACCCCGCCACGCACGGGTGGGCCCTGTCCCCAGAGACGCGTGAGGAGCGCTGGCTCCACGGCAGATGCCACACGTGTCCTCTTGGCTCTCAGAGCAACGTCTCCCCTGTCGCCATGTGCGCCGCGCTCAAAGGGCTTTATGCCTTCGCTGTCTCCCGGTGACCCTCTGCGGGGTCTGAGCGTGGCCCAGTTTTACTGGTCGGGCTCAGGCCGATCGCTTTACCTGCGTCGGGCTCGGAGTGAGGGGCTCCGAAGCCGACCTTTGCTCGCGCTCCCCACAGGCACCTGGCGCCCCTGTTCGACAACCCCAAATTGGACAAGGAGCTGCGGGCCATGCTGAGGGAGAAGTTTCCGGAGTTCTGCGGCTCGCCCAGCCCACCCGTGGGAGGTGCGGGCCCTCCCCCTCCATCACCGCGTCCAAAGGGCCAGAGACCCGGGCTCAGGCCGGGCGCGGGGCTGTCC